GGCGACAGCAAGCCCGAGCTCAACATCATTGCCCTGAGCCACCGCAAAACCATGAAGAAGCGGAACAAGAAGATCCTGGACAACTGGATCACCATCCAGGAGATGCTGGCCCATGGCGCACGCTCGGCTGATGGCAAGCGGGTCTACAACCCTCTCCTCTCGGTCACTACTGTGTGAGCTGCCCGGGCGGGTGCACGGCCCAGGCCCAAGGAGCCCCCTGGGGCCCCGGCCCTCACTCTCCTATAGAGATTGTGTGTGTGTGCGCGCGTGCTCGCTGTGTGCATGCACACACCTCCCCGTCTAGGTGTGCGCACAGGGCTTTGTTAGCAGAGAGAAGCCCCTGAGGAGAAGGGACGCTTTTCTTCTTTCTGCCCAAGTCAAGTGACCACGCTAGTGGCCAGTATTGGGGGCACACCTGTAATGGGCACCCCTTCGGCTGTGCGTGTGCATTTCCCATTCCCCATGCTCTTGCGTGTGCTTGCACGTGCACGCACACACACACCCAGTGATCTCTCCACCCGACCCGTGTACTTGCAGACAGGGAAGTTGAGCTGAAAGGAGCACAAGAGAGTGTCCGGCTTCGCTGCTGAGCTCGGCCTCTCCCCGCTGCAGTTATTTGTAGACAAAGGCACCCCGATTTTTGTGGTTTTTCTCCCTTTCTGTGCTTGCCAATAGTTGTTTTGTTTTGTGGACCTGACCTGGGGGCTGGCAGCTCCTTCAGGCAGCCTGGCAGAGGTGGAACTCCCCACTCCACTGATGGCTGGGAAGGGAGTTGGGGAGGAAGACCGGGAGGGAGGGCTGGGGATGGACGGGAGGGAAGGGGAGGGAAAGGTGGGAGGAATGGGAAGCAGCTGTTCTGGTGGCTTCCACTCTGAGGTGTGGGAACGGGGAGCTTTTGGGGGGCACCTGTTTCCCCAGTGACTGAGAGAGAGAGCAAGACTGCAGGAACGGAGGGGTCTTGCAGGGTGTCCACCAAGAAGTCACAGAGCCCGTTCTGCGCCCCACACCATCTGGAGCAGGGGCTTCTCTTCTGAATGAACTGAAGAAGGTGCTTAGAAGGGGTCTAGAAGCCAAGCCCCGTGAGCAGCAGTGGAAGACCTTGGGCCATGCGGCCTGGAGAGGACTTGGTGGCGATCCGCAACCTGGACCCCAGTAAGGTGGTGGGCTGACTGGGAAGGAGAGGCCCCCAGCCTCCTCAGGATTTGCACGTGTGAACTAGGCTGCCTGGGGGTGCCCCTCAGGCTTGGAGAGCCCCAGATTGGAGGCAGACAGGCTGCACCACCCCTTCCCCCTGCATCTTGAGAATAAAGCAAGCTGCCTTTGTACTTGGTTGAATCGTGGCCTCCCTGTGTTCATTCTTATTGGGCTGGGGAAAGAGTTGTCAGTTTGGGGTGGGAGAAGGAAGAGGGGGCAGGGTTAGAGTCAACTGAAAGCCATGCTGCAGCCCTCGGTTTGTCTCGGATGTCAGGAGCAGTGACTGTGACCTCCCATGGGCAATTGTGTGGCACCCCAGGAGGAGATATACCAGAGTCACCTGAGTCATTTCAGAGGTGTCACAGTCACAGGGTGGTGACCAGATGCAGAAGGCTGGCAGAAGCCTGACTTCAGACTAGCCTCCAGGCAAGGGCTATGGTCATCTCCATGGACCAAACCGTAGGTGGGGCCCACTGCTGGCACATGCCACAGAGAAGTGGGTTCCAGTCCTATGCTGCCCAGCAGGGCCTGGTGCCATCCACTCTGGAAGGCGGAAGCTGCCCTCCCATTTGGTGATTCCACAGTGCCTAGCAAGGTGCTCAGTTTGCAGAAGGCACTCAGTGGATGTCTCGGCCAGACAGATGAATACCCATGTTGTTGCCAGGGCCCTTGCATCCTGAGAGCTCTCAGCAAACCTTTGGGCTCTGTCAAGTGCCAGGAGCTCAATGCTGGGCAGGGTCAGGGCCTCAAAGACAACTCCGCAGACAACATGGGCACAGCCTGCCATGAGAGTGGTACCCCCTGGAGTGGGCAGTGCTGCTGTGAAGGAGCGGAAGTGGTCAAGGAGGCATTCAGATTCTCCAGAAAGAAGACAATATAGGCCAGTTGCGGTGGCTCACGCCTGTAATCCCAGCACTTTGGGAGGCCAAGGTGGGTGGATTACATGAGGTCAGGCGTTCAAGACCAGCCTGGCCAACATGGAGAAACCCTGTCTCTACTAAAAATACAAAAATTAGCTGGGCATGGTGGCAGGTGCCTGTAATCCCAGCTACTCAGGAGGCCGAGGCAGGAGAATCGCTTGAACCCGAGAGGTGCAGGCTGCAGTGAGCCGAGATCGTGCCACTGCACTCCAGCCTGGGCGACAGAGTGAGACCCCTGTCTCAAAAAAAATTTTTTTTCGTTTAAACTTTTCTAAGTACTGAGATCTGGGCAGCAAGTCAGTGACAGATTAGATGCTAAGAAGGTTGTGAAGGAAAAGTCCCAGTGCCTGTTCCCAGAAGCCTGGAGTCCCGCTGCAGGGAAGGCTGGATCACAAGGGTGCCAGCTGCCTCTCTGCTGCATAGCAGCGCCGGGAGGGAAGGCCTGGCATATCACACCCCACCAGCAGGGAAGAGGGGAAGAGGCTTGCTGGCTAGGTGGCAGGAAGGGGAGCAGAGGGCAGGGGCTAGAGATAATGGCTTCCCCACCCCTCAGGGCCTCACCCCCATGAGGGCTTGGCACATCCAACCCTTGACCAACTCCCTAACCCTGCCCCTCGGGGGAATAAGGGTCCAAGGGCCCAGCCCCTGCCACAGAGCATTGGCCGGAGTTGATTGGAGATGGAGGTCAAACTGTTCCCTTGGCCTCCCTCTAGCTGCTGGGGGCCTCACTTGGATGGTCCTAAAGGCATCTTCCTTCTTCCTCTGGTGGGGTGCCCTCCAGTGTTCATGGGATGTGGGCCCAGATGGGCCTGGAGGCTGGAGTCCCTTGGCTGGTTCAGGGAGAGGTGGCGCCAGAAAGGCTGGCAGCACTTGGCTACCGATGCCCTGGAATAGCAACTTCACGTCCGGGTCCCACTGCCATCAGGCTTCGTGGCAGAGCCAAAACTAAAAAGAGCAACTGGGTGCCCAACAGCCACACCGGTGCCTGCCGCACCCGGCCTGCCCCAGCCACCTGCCCTGCACAGGCTGCTGGGTCTCCTCTGGAATCTGGAAACTGCATCTGCTGGCAAAGTTGGTGTGGCCCCTCAGCCCCAACGCTCCTGCTGCATTGTCCTGGGGTGAGCGCCCAGCTCTTCCTAGGAGCCTGCCCATTCTTGGCAGCTGGCCCCACCCAACCCCCTTCCCAAGGCCTGGGGGTGGGAAGAGGGTTCCCTGCTTGTACAGATGACCCCCCTACCCGAGACTCTGCTTAGCAGACAGACCCAGGTCACAGGCAGCCTACACCTGCTCCTGACACCCCCGGCCCCTCACAGTGCCGCTCTCTCTGGCAACTGAGCTGAAGTACTGAGGAGCCCCTACCTCCCAGGCAGGTTTTGGGCCTTCCCTCCTTTTCCAGAGCAGCCTTGGCTGGGCACGGTGGCTCATGACTGTAACCCCAGAACTTTGGGAGGCCGAGATGGATGGATCACCTGAGGCCAGGAGTTCGAGACCAGCCTGGCCAACATGGTGAAACCCCATCTCTACCAACAATACAAAACATTAGCCGGGCTTGGTGGCGGCGCCTGTACTCCCAGCTACTCGGGAGGCTGGGGCAGGAGAATCACTTGAACCCGGGAGGTGGAGGTTGCAGTGAGCTGAGATTGCGCCACTGCACTCCAGCCTGGGCAACAAGAGCGAAACTCTGTCTCAAAAAAAAAAAAACAAACAACAAAAACAGCCTCTCTGGAGATTTCCATTTCTCTCCAGTAACAGCCAATGGGTGACCCAGACATCAGGAGTTTGGTGGCTGATACCAGTGGACTCCCTGACACCTTGGAGTAGGCACTGTCACTGCCTCGCAGCTGAGCAAACTGACTTGGGTCCCATAGCTGGGAAGGGCTCACCTGGGATTTGCACCCAGTCCCTTTGGTCCCCAAGACCCTCACTGCCTCACTGGCCCTCAGTGCCACTAAGGAATGCCATTAGCTAGTCAGGAGCCAGCATGTGCCAAGCTGAAAAACAGGCTGATGGGAGAGGTGCAGGATGAACTGCAAGTGTGGTGTCAGGCCGGGACGCCTGCCTGGTATCCTGAGGGCACGGGTGCTCTTGGGAGAGGGGTCTCTAGGAGGAAGTTGATGTGCCCCTCACAGGTGGGGTTTTTTGTTGTTTTGTTGAGACAAGGTCTCATTCTGTCATCTGGGCTGGAGCACAGTGGTGCGATCATGGCTTACTGCATCCTTGACCTCTCCAGGTCGAGTAGCTGGCACTACAGGCACATGCCACCACATGCAGCTAATTTTTCTGTAGAGACAGGGTCTCGCCATGTTGCCCAGGTTGGTCTCAGACTCCTGACATCAGGTGATCCTCCCACTTCGGCCTCACAAAGTGTGGGGATTACAGGTATGTGCCACCACACCTGGCCATGGGTGTGTATTTTCCCAATATCCCATGAAGGCACAGCACACTGGAAGCAAGGTGGTGTGGTCAGGGTGTGGAGTGTGGAGGGGCTGAGCCCAGACAGTTGCACACCACATGGGCAGGGTGGGGGAACTTGCTGTGCCTGAGAGCAGTGCAGGGAAACCCCTCTGCGTGCAGATTGGGCCCGGGGCTTCCAACACAGGAGCCGTGATGGAGACCAGGCTGGCTGTCTCCCCATGGAGCCTGTGGGGCCACCTGGGGATGAGGTGGCCAAGCCCACTGCCCTCACCAGAACCAGGAGAGAGACATTGGAAGGTGGACACAGGGTTCTGTGGGGACCAGAGGGCTTCACTGGGAGGAGGAAAGGGAGTTCTGGACCAAAGCCTGCCCCTTTCCCGCCTGGTGCCTCTGCTGGCCAGGCAGACAAGGGGACGCTGGGCCCCCAGCTCTCCCGGTCAGGGGAAGGCACAATAACGCAAGCCAACAGCCTCAGGTCCTGTGATGTTTATTTGAAGGAAGCAAGGGCAGGGCTGGGGTGCCACCCTCAGGCCTGGATGTGGCTCTTTGCGCTGAAGGCCAGGTAGTAGATCACAAGACCAATCGCCGCAGCCAGCACCTCAGTGGACACCCAGGGCCCGTTCCAAGTGCCCTGAAAGAAAGGAGATCACAAGCCAGCTCAGGTGGGTATAGGCAAGCAGACCAGCCAGTGCTGGTCACCCTCCACCAGGGGAACCATGACACGCTGGCCAATCACGGCCCAGCAGCGGAGCTGGGGCTGTGGAGAGGATGAGAACCTTCACTCAGCCCAACCACCCCAAAAAGGAGGACGGACCAGGCCGCTCACCCGATGGTCCACGCTGACTGTGAACAGCGGCGGGATGATGGAAATGTCCTCGTTATTCCTCTGAGCCTGCAAGGGAGGTGTCAGGGTCAGGAGTGCCCAGCGTGCGGGGGTGGGAAGGGGAGGGGAAAGAGATAGGAACGCTGGCCAGAGCCCCAGAAAAGGAAAGGAGAGAAATGGACGAGAGACCCTTCTCAGTAGAAGGGGACAGGATTACAGAAAGGCCACCCAGCTCAGGACTCACTGCCAGCGCCTCCCAACCCGGCCCATCCTGCTCCCCAGGGACAGGGGAGCCCAGTGGGCTGCGGGAGCCCTCACCTTCCTGAGGAGGCTGTAGGACTCCTCGTCGAAGAATCTGACTTCATAGGTGCCTGCGTGGGCGCTCTTGTGGTCCAGGCTCCAGGACACCTGGGTTGGGTGTGTTGAGCAGGGTGTGGGCAGAGTGGACATGGAAGGGCCACCCTGCCCACCAGTGCCCACACCGCAGCACTCCAGCAGCCAGAGCCCACAGCCCCTGGCCCTGGTTGACTGGCCACCCCTGGGGCTTCAGGTCACACCCGGGAGCAGGAAGCCCCCTAGCAAGGGAACCCTTGGCCCCTCACCTGATAACGCCCCACGTCCTGGCCTCGGGTGACAGGGAATTGTTTTCCACCGACGTCAGCATAGAGAGCCATGTTCTGGGTGAGGAGACAAAGGCAGGGTCACCTTCTGCCTTCTCTGGGTGTGGGCAGAGGAACCCTGTGTGCTGCTCACACGGCCTGCAGATGGGTAGGCTAGGCCCAGTTGGGGGCTGCAGTGTCCCTGGCAGGAGGTTCCAGGTAACACTCACCAATCCTGTGACTGGCCCTCTGCATCGGTCTTCCCTACGGAGGCACAGGGCTAGATCCCCATGGTCGGACCTAACTGGACGCATAAGAACCCTGTTGACTGTGAGCAGGGGCGGGATGATCAAAAGGGCCGAGTGATTTTCCTGAGTCTACAAGGGAGGTGCTGGGGTCCGGGATGCCCAGTGGGCTGCCCAAGGGGTGCTTTACCCTAAGAGAGCCATACCCAAAAAAAAGGCCCCATTTCCTTCTTTGGACTTTTGGGAACGTAGGTCAGGGGCCAAGGCCAAGGCTCCTCAATCTTGAAGTTAAAACACCCGAAATCCTGTCTCTACCAAAAAATACAAAACTTAGCTGGGCATGGTGGTAAGCGCCTGTCATCCCAGCTACTCGGGAGACTGAGGGGAGAATCTCTTGAACCCGGGAGGCGGAGGCTGCAATGAGCCAAGATCGTGCCAATGCACTCCAGCTGGGGCAACAGAGTGAGACCCTGTCTCAAAACAAACAAAAAACAAAAACAAAGACAAAACACCCACACAGACAAACTGGCCAATGGCAACGAGGGTGGGCTGCCCTTTCTCCCGGTTCAGATACTCATTCGGGACACAGGTTGTGAGCCCAGTGTTACCTCGTGTAGGCACAGCACACAAAGCAGGTGAGGAAGGTGACCTGTCAACACTGGCTAGGATCTGGCATCGCCGTGCCCTGATCTCTCCAGCACCCCAAGAGTTGGAATCTCTGTTGACACGGGTCCCCCATCAACTGGCAGTGAGGAGCACCCCCACCCGCCCTCCTGTCTGAAACCCCACTGTCTCACCTGGACCCTGTTCTTGCATGTCAGGGAGATCTCCACAATAAAGACAGTCTCGGTGGAAATGACAGCGTCAGAAGTGGTGTAGTAGGAAGGGGTGATCTGGGGCTCCAGGCAGGCCTCAGCTGCAGGGAAGAGGGAGAGATGCTTGGGTAAGGCCAGCTCGAGTATCCCAGTCTGAGGGCAGGATGGCCGGGCCCTGCCTCACAGCACGGATCAGCTGAGGACGCACGGGATCCTCCTGTCCCTTCCAGGTGGGATCCAGACAGATCCAAGTGCTCGGTCACAAATGCAGTGGCAAGGTAGGTGGGATGGCTGTGAAAGCAGACTGGAGGGGGCAAGGCCAGCTTTCTGGAGGTGTGCAGGAAGAGCGAACGCGTGTGCTGGGGACAGGTGGGCGCTGGATTCACTGGACAATACATGCCAACGCTTGGACCTATGACACGGAGGCCAGGGGGCCAGGCCAGCCTCCATTCAGAACCACAAACGGCCTGGACGAGTTACTGAAGGCATCCTCAGCAGAGACATCAGGGGTAGGGCTGCAGGCAGGCAATGCACTGCCCCAGCGTTTCCTGAGGAAGTCATCAGGAGAGGCTCTGCTTCCAGAAGCACAACTTGTTAGCTGTGAGAGAAAGGACTCTGCCTTAGCCTTCTCCATAACCACAGAGGCCCACAGGAAAGACAGGCTGCCGCCTACATCAGAGGGTGTGAAACAAAGGCTCCCCAAAATGGGAACGTTCTCAGTCACCAGCTGTCCAAATGTGATGCTCCGGCAGAATGACGGCTTCAGCAGAGGACGTCAGAGAAGGCTCTGGGTCCAGACCAGAGGAGGCAGATCCGTAGGAAGAGCATGGAGGCCGCTCTCAGGGGCCAGATCCTACCAGCCTTTCTGTGTCCTGCCTAAGTTGGGCCTGCTTCCTGTGGCGCAGGGGAGCCCCCGAAAGGGTTTTATGGCCAGGCTTGTCCTCTGGATAAGTCCCTGGCTATAACTCAGGGAATTCCTGAGGGGCAGACAAGAGGGTGCGGGCAGGGAGGCCAGTTAAGCTGGCAAAACGTTGCAGGCAGCAAGGCTACTGGCCTGAAGGACGGCAGAAAAGGGAATGTGCAGAAAGCCACCCCTGTCCAGTCCTGGCCCCCGGGCCCGGGACTGGCTGCTGCAGCCACCTCCTAAACACACTCTGGAGCCTCAGACCCTCATGAACGCAAATCGACGGGACCCCTGGTAGGCTCTGCCGAAAACTCTGGTAAGGGTAAGGCAGGGCCCTCCGGAAAGGCCAGTCTTCGGCCTGGCACTCAAGGTCCTGCGCACCTCTGGCTCCCCATCTAACTCGCCCCGTTCTTGCTCCCTCTCCTCACTGAGGTCCCTTCCTAGCTTATGTGGCTCCTCCAGCCCCGTTTTTGACCGCGATCGCTCAGCACTACAGAGCTTCGTTCTGGTCCGACCCCGCAGGGAGCGGGAGCGGGGACATGTGTCACGTTCCGTGCTGGAGCTGGGGGCCGGGCGCACGGTGGAGACTCCGGGACTCCTCTTCGTATGGGCAGACAAGGAAAAGCCTGGCTGCCGGTAAACGTGCCCGAGGTGCTTTGGTCCCCGCGTCCCAAGGCCGCCTGCCTCTCGGAGGAAGGCCCGGCTCTCAGCGACGGACCCCGAAAAGCCAGACCCCCGCATCCCTCCTCCCCTCAACACCACGTGGGGTGGGTCAGAGGCTCGCCAGAAAGAAGCCCCGACTGGGCCGCTACCTGAGCAGCGGGAGAGGCTGGACTGCAGGAGCAGCGCCAGGGCGCCGAGATATGCCATCGCCGCCATCGCCTCTTCTCTGCCTAGAGGAAAAGAAAACGAGCTCCCATGAACACGAGGGGCAAACGAGGAAGAGCGACGCGTAAGTGACAGCGGCAGCCAATCGTGCACCGAAGGGCCGGGCCGGCATTGTGACGTCTCTGGCAGCACTGACGTGGCCCCTCCCCGAGACAGGGGCCCAGCTGGTCGCGATCCCCCATCAACATGGCGGCAGCGGCGCTCTAGGCGCCGGAAGGGGGCGTGGGAATCGGTGAGACCGCGCGCGTGCGCAGTACCGGGCCCGCGCCGGTCCCCGAAACTTCGCACCCCGTCGAACTCTCGCGAGAGCGGTGTCTGCGTGACGGGACGTGCGGAGGCTCTCACTTTCCGTCATGGCGCTGAAGGTAGCGACGGTCGCCGGCGGCGCTGCGAAGGCAGTGCTCAGGCCAGCCCTTCTCTGCCGTCCCTGGGAGGTGAGCAGGGAAAGGGCCACGGGGCCGCGGCAGCGCTCGCAGGGGAGCGGTGGGGTAGCCGCTCCCGAAGCAGTCTGGAGTCCGATTGGCTAGGAGAGGGCTGCGCGCCGGGGTTGATTGGCCGCCTCCGCTGTCACTGAGGGGATTGGCCGAAGTTGGCCCTGGGCCGGCTCCCCCAGGGCGTCTGCATCGGGTGGCGGGGGGGGGGGTTCCGGACGGGCCGGGAGAGTGGGCCACGGCGGCTGTCACCTCCTTACTGTCCTTGAAAGAGCCCTTTGACGCAGTCACTCACGTATCCCGGCCCGCCTTTCTCAAACCGCTTCGGGAATCCGGTTCCGGGACTCAAATTTCTCCATGGGTTCCCGTCTCGTTGACCGCTTTGCCACTTGTCCCGGTGGCAAAGAACCGGACTTTGCCAGTCATACCCCATCCTCCCACAGTCTTAGAGCCCCAGATGCCTTCCCCCCGAGGCGCCTGGAATGGGAAGGAGCTAGGGTTTCTCAGGCTGCGGGGGTTTTGCTTCTGCTTTTCTTGGTCTGCGGTCTTGCGTATTCAGGTCTGAGTCTTTTTTCCTTACGCTTATTTAAGAAGAGGTTAATTTAGGTCCTAGGTGGGCTGGAAACCATCTGAAGCAGCTGTGAGCCAGCACCTGGCCCTGATGGGTAAGAGGTTTGGCCTCTAGGCCATGCTCCCCCACTGACCCAGTGCGTGGCCTTAGGCCAGTTTCTCCTCTCTCTGGGTTACAGTTTCCCCTTTGGAACCCAGAGGGGAGACTTCATGTTTTCAAAGGATCCTGTCAACTCTGACCTTCCAGAACTCCGTGACTTTGTTGCCACTCACCAGGGACACCTCTACTTGCTGTTTTCTCTTTCTGGCCTCTGGGGGAGATGCTTGTGCCTAATGAAATTCTCTTGACAATGCCGACTTCTCCTACCTTGCTGCTGAAAGGACGGCAGCATATAGTGGCTTTCCAGAGGCTCTGATGGCTCTAGCAACTGGGCTCCTGTAGGCTCTCGGTGAAGACATGTGCCTCCTCCTTGACCTCCCCTGTGTGTGTGCTTGTGTGTGCGTTGGGGTGGGAGTAGGGGACAGTGAACGGTGGGTAGCTGGGCAGTGCCTTGCCCTGAGATTGATTGTCCTGGGTATGGGAACCCTTACAGAGGAATCCCAGGTCTTGGATCCCACTGATTTGGACGCCATGGGAGAACATACAGCCACCATTGGCACATGGTCCGACAGAAATGTGTCAAAGAGAGAAGCCTCAGCAGGCATAAGATGTGGGGTGTGGATGTTCTTTCTTTCTGTGGAACTATGAAAGGGTGATGGGAGAGCGGGAGGCGTGTGCATATTGCATCCTGCCTCACACCTGGCTCCTTTGATTGGTGGCTTCACAGGGAAGTTGGGGCACAAGGCAGAGCCTTTGCGACCTCCTGAAGGAAGGTGCCTGCATCTGTACAGTACGGTCAGGGAAGTCCATCTGGAGTGCTCTCTGGGTCTTTTGCCAAAGTCCAAAGGAACACCTGGCACAGGGACCGGGTGGCGGAGAGGTTCAGCCCTGGTGGTGATGTTGCCATCTGTGAGGGAGGTCCATGCCCTCAGGAGATTGGCTCGCTGCCACAGCTGAAGCCCAGGAGGAACTACTGCTGGGAGCTGCAGGGGTCCACCTGTGACCCCCCAGGGACACCAGCCTTGAACTCTGACCTGAGGTGCCAGTGGGGTAAAGGGGCAGGTGTGCTATGTAGCACTAGCTACTGTGAGCAACTCACACACCTCCTCTCGCCTAATTTTTCCAGCAGTCACGGAAAGTAGGTACCTCCATTCTGTGAATTTCAAATGAGGCCGTGAAGCCATCTCGAGAGGAGTGGATGGTGGATTTGGACCGAGGCCTCCCTAGTCTCCAGTTCTTTCCTCATTTTCTGATGTGCTTGTTCACTCAGGAAATGTTCCTTATGTCCTAGCTCTGGGCCAGGTACTGTGCTGGGTCCTAGGGTGACAGTATTGGACCAGACTGACTTGGCCCCTCCTCTCGGGCTCAGGGGTTGAGGAGGGAGCAATGCAGTGACAACCTAGGGAGGGGGGTAAGTAGGGCCTTAGGATCCCAGCTCAGTAGCCTTAGGGCATCAGGGAGAGCTCCCTGGAGGAAGATCCATCGAAGCCACCTTCTGCGTGCTTACAAGAGCCCCCAAATAAGATGATTTCAGATGCTGACAAGCGCTAGAGAGAAGACAGAAAAGTCCCGACTGTGCTTGTGGTTGCAGATCCAGGTGCCACACAGATCAGCTGAGCTCCACTCAGGGCTCTGGTCCTTGTGGTCACACTCTCCTAGCCCCTGGCTTGGACTGATGAGTGGTACATCTGCACTGCCAGCGCTTGGGCAAGTGGGCCCCTTGCGAATGCCGGTCAGATACACACAGACAGGGAGAGGTCAGACTCCACCCGAGCCTTCTGGACTTCTAGCAGGAAGGCACGGCTCTTTGGCCAATGGCTGTGATGCTTCTGCCATTGGCTGGAACAGTTTGCTCCTGTCTGGTGGTCAAGTGGCAGGACATCCCCAAGTGGCAGGGAAGACCTTGGCTCTGCCACCATCTCAGGTGTGTTCCTAGGTGGGGCTTCTTCCAGGACAGCCGGTCACTTGGCACCTGGCACATTTGGTTTAGGCAGCTTTGGCTCTGAAGCTGTTCGGCATTTCCAGGCAGGGCGTTGGGGACATTTGGCATCCAGCCGTCTTTTCTGAAGGCCTTCCTAGAGTTGGGTTTCTGTTATCAACTTTCCGGAAATGGCTGGATGTCCCTACACATTTGTTTTCAATTTCTAACGCCGAAGGGCCATTTCCCAGGGGGCCAACAGTACTTGTCTCAGGGAGGCTGGAGGCTGGGTACTACCTTCTTATCTCCCTATTCTGCGTTTTCTGTAGCAACCACATGCTGCTTTTGTAATAAGGAAAAGTGCTCAGCGAAGTGATAACATGACTGTTGTCATGGATCTGTGCTTTTTTGTAATGATTTCTCTGCTGTACCAGGGTTAGTTTGCCTTTTTCGCATGTTACAAACATCGCTGAGCAGGAATAACTGGCCAAGAAAATAATCAGAAGCAAAAAAGAGGAGGGAGGGCAGGGACACGCCTTTTAAGAAATTTTCCTGCCAGGCGCGGTGGCTCACGCCTGTAATCCCAGCACTTTGGGAGGCCGAGGCGGGCGGATCACAAGGTCAGGAGATCGAGACCATGGTGAAACCCTGTCTCTACTAAAAATAGAAAAAATTAGCCGGGTGCGGTGGCGGGCGCCTGTAGTCCCAGCTACTCGGGAGGCTGAGGCAGGAGAATGGCATGAAGCCGGGAGGCGGAGCTTGCAGTGAGCCGAGATTACGCCACTGCACTCCAGCCTGGGCGACACAGCGAGACTCCGTCTCAAAAAAAAAAAAAAAAAAAGAAAAAAGAAAAAAAAAAGAAATTTGCTGAAGAGCCGAAGGAGGCAGGAGGCTGGAGTGCCTTCTGCTTTCCGGGTGCTCCAGCGGGTCGGCCCTGGGGACAGAGGCTTCGGAGCTAATTGTCTGTTGTGCCCCTGGCAGTGGGCCATGCCGCACAGACAGGGGACCTGCCAGGGCACAGTGGGGACGGTCCGTTTTTCCTTCTAACTTGGCTTTCTGGGCTGGACATCAAACCAACCTCTGGCGTTTGGTCTCTCTGCCAGGTTCTAGGCGCCCACGAGGTCCCCTCAAGGAGCATCTCTTCAGTAAGTACCTGCCCGTGCCCATGCATGTGTCTGTCTCCATGTGGCCGCAGTTGTACGCGTGTGCGCACGGCCTGCGTCCTTTCCTCTGAGATGCGGTCTCCACGGGTTACCCACCCCTCTTCTGGGAGTTGTACTGGCCAGCATCCCCCCGGGAAAAGGCCCCATTTTCCTGGTCACAGCTTTGCTCTTGGAACCTTGGCTGATTATGTCTTCTTCCTTTCTCCTCCTTTCTAGCAACAAACAATTGTGAGTATTCTTCTTTGCCTGTTAGGTATAGGGGGCTCTTAGTTGCTTTGGGGTTGACTAAATTCCAGGTGGGGGTGGGCTGCTGCTGACCCAGAAGCCCTGGATGAGCAGCCCTGTCGGGGACGGGGCTGCCCCAAGTTGGCACCTTGTGACGGGGTGGCCTGTGGGGTCAGCGCCAGTAGGAAGAAGGGAACTGGCTGGAGCCCATGGGGGCCGAGCTGGAGGCATGTGGGATCCCGGAAGGCCCACCTTCACCCTCTGCCTCCCACAGCCTCCGTCGGCTAAGTATGGCGGGCGGCACACAGTGACCATGATCCCAGGGGATGGCATTGGGCCGGAGCTCATGCTGCATGTCAAGTCCGTCTTCAGGTATGGAGCTCCTGGGTCCCCGCCTTGTCCTCAGGGGGCCCTGAGGACTTTGTGCCAAGAGGGGCATTGCGCCCAGAAGCACTCGGTGAGGCCATGGCAGGACTACCTGTAAGCCCAGGCCTTGCGTTGCATGGCCTGTGATGCCGCCAGGCTGGCCTGTGCTTAGGGAAGGTGGCACCAGTCCTGCCACAGTGTGCATTGTGGAGTTCAAGCATGTCCCCATCAGTTGGTGAAAGTGGGCCCAGTCCCTTCTCAGTTAGAGCCAGGTCAGGGCAGGTAGCAACAGGAGAGTGGTAGCCTGGGCAGGCTTCCTGGAGGAGGTGCGGGGAGGGCCTGGGCCAGCCTCCCTGACCCTGCTCTGCCTCAGGCACGCATGTGTACCAGTGGACTTTGAAGAGGTGCACGTGAGTTCCAACGCTGATGAAGAGGACATTCGCAATGCCATCATGGCCATCCGCCGGAACCGTGTGGCCCTGAAGGGTGAGCTCCAGGGCCAGGGGCCAGGATGGGGCCCTAGGTGTGATTCCTTCCTTCCTTCCTCCCTCCCTCCCTCCCTCCCTTCCTTCGTTTTCTTTTCTTTTCTTTTTTTTTTTTTTTTTGAGACGGAGTCTTGCTCTGTCTCCCAGGCTGGAGTGCAGTGGCGCGATCTCGGCTCACTGTAAGCTCCACCTCCTGGGTTGGCACCATTCTCCTGCCTCAGCCTCCCTAGTGGCTGGGACTACAGGTGCCCGCCACCACACCCGGCTAATTTTTTGTGTGTTTTCAGTAGAGACAGGGGTTCACCGTGTTAGCCAGGATGGTCTCGATCTCCTGACCTTGTGATCCACCTGCCTCAGCCTCCCAAAGTGCTAGGATTACAGGCATGAGCCACTGCACCCAGCCGCTTACTTGTTTTCTTTCTTGCTTTCTTTCTGAGATGGAGTCTCGCTCTGTCGCCCAGGATGTAGTGCAGTGGTGCGATCTCGGCTCAGTGCAGCCTGTGCCTTCCAGTTTCAAGCAATTCTTCTGCCTCAGCCTCCCGAGTAGCTGAGATTACAGGCGTGTGCCACCACGCCCAGCTGATTTTTGTATTTTCAGTAGAGACAGGGTTTCACCACATTGGCCAGGCTGGTCTCGAACTCCTGACCTCGTGATCCGCCCGCCTCAGCCTCCCAAAGTGCTGGGGTTACAGGCGTGAGCCACCATGCCCGGCCCGCATGATTTCTTTTACCTCCCTCTGAGCTGACTCTTGTGAGGTCCCATGGCTCTGATTTCAGGGCTTGTCTGACTAGAGAGGACCCTTGTGCTTGGAGACTGGGTGGACGCCTCCTCGGGCCTGTTTGCGCTATGATGCTGGGATTCTAGTGGGAGCAGCTGTGTGTGCGCCTGTCCAGTGACAGGCTCCCTCCCACTCCTCCTTCCCTCTTGAGACAGTCATCTCTGCTGGGGTCAGCTTTGACCCTCAGCATCTTTCTTCACAAACCAGGTATCACAGAGATGTAGTTCTGACCCTCTGCCTGGCGCTTCGGGTGCAGCCAGCCTGGGGGTGGATGGCACAGCCCAGGCAGGGATTCTCAGGGCTTCGCTTGAGGTTCCTAAACTGCTTCCATCGCTCATTTTGCACACTCAGCCCATTACCTGCACTGTGTGAGGAGCGTGTGAGCAAAAATGAACCCAGGAGGAGCCCCAGGCTCTGGCAGTCAAGTGGAGGGGCCTTTGTGCCAGCCACAGGGGACCCCTGCACTCAGAGTGGAGCGATCTGGGCGGGGTGGCGCTCACCAGCAGGCGGCCTCTGTTTGGCACCCTCTGACTGCTGTCTCCAGTGGCCACCAGCCTCTGCTTCCCTTACTCCAGGTGCCCTGGGTCGTAGGGCAGGGCCCGGCCAATCTGTGGCCTTCTCCAGGCAGCCCCTGCCTGCCCCTGAGTGTGGTGCCTTGATGCGGGGTCCTGGCAGTAACACCGCCAAGGCCACCTTGCTAGCTCCAGCCTGGCCGGCCACCCTGTTTAATAAAGAGTCGTCACTTTCTGTGGCTCCAGAGCCTGGGCAGGGAATGGCATGGCCGCCTGGCCAGTTGCCAGCCTTTATTCATTTATTGACTTGTTCATTCCACCGCTCAGTGGTTATTCATGGAGCACCTGCTCCACCAGGCACCCTTCGAGATCCCTGAGCACGTAGCCTTGTGGGGCTTAGGCTGGAAGTTGCATTCTAGTGTTCCATGAAGCATTTTTGCTCCCCAAGTCTTCTCCTGACCCTGGCAGACTTCAGCTGCCCTGCTGAGGTGGGGTGGGGATGGGCAGTGCCGCTAAACCTGTGTTGTGTTTTGCAGGCAACATTGAAACCAACCATAACCTGCCACCGTCACACAAATCTCGAAACAACATCCTTCGGTGAGATCCGGGTGTGCGGGCTGGGGGCTCGGTGGGGCTAATGTGGGGTGAGCCAGCGGAGTCTGGCTCCAGTCAGCAACCTGTCAGGCCTAGCAGCCTCTTTCTCTGTCCCCTCCCAGCACCAGCCTGGACCTCTATGCCAATGTCATTCACTGTAAGAGCCTGCCAGGTGTGGTGACCCGGCACAAGGACATAGACATCCTCATTGTCCGGGAGAACACAGAGGGCGAGTATAGCAGCCTGGAGCATGAGGTGTGCATGGGCGGCCCGGGATGAGCCCCCTTGGGGTCAAGATTAAGGGGAGAGCTTAAGGAACCAGGGACAGGCGTACCCTCAGAGGGCAGGGGCTGTGCCCGAGGGAGAAGTCAGAAATACGCAGATGGGGTGCTTCCCACTGTGGCCCCGTCACACCAGCTTGTTTGGCCAGTACCGCTCTTCAGTAGCACATGGATCTCTTCTCCCCATCCCCTCCTCAGAGCGTGGCGGGAGTGGTGGAGAGCCTGAAGATCATCACCAAGGCCAAGTCCCTGCGCATTGCCGAGTATGCCTTCAAGCTGGCGCAGGAGAGCGGGCGCAAGAAAGTGACGGCTGTACACAAGGCCAACATCATGTATGCCCCCTGTCCCCTGACCCCTCTGAGAGTAGTCCAGAAGCAGCTGCAGTGGCCTGCTTGGGCCTGTTCTCAGGGATTTGTGGTCCAAAAGCCCAGCTACCCACCGAGGGGCCACCCCAGGCGAGTGCCCTGTTGCCCTCGAGGCATTGCCAGAGCCCACACTTAGGGGAGGTGGGGTGGGATTCTGTCCATTTTGCTGGTGAGGGACAGGTTAGAATTCAGACCCCAGCCTCCTGGGGCCTCTGCATGCCCCATCCCTCCGGCTGACTTGCGATGGCCAAGCTGGTGTCCTGTTCCTAACCCCTCACCAGGAAACTGGGCGATGGGCTTTTCCTCCAGTGCTGCAGGGAGGTGGCAGCCCGCTACCCCCAGATCACCTTCGAGAACATGATTGTGGACAACACCACCATGCAGGTATTAGCCTGCCCAGTGCTATCCCCCCTGCCCTGGGTGCCCTGGGCTTCTGTCACCCATGCTCCCGAATCTGCCCCTCAGCCAGCCCCCTCTTTGTCCCACAGCTGGTGTCCCGACCCCAGCAGTTTGATGTCATGGTAATGCCCAATCTCTATGGCAACATTGTCAACAACGTCTGCGCAGGACTGGTTGGGGGCCCAGGCCTTGTGGCTGGGGCCAACTATGGCCATGTGTATGCAGTGTTTGAAACGGTGAGTACTAGGGGCAGGGCCGTAGCCTGCCGCCTTTTTCCAGTTCACAGACTTACTGAGGCACACTCATCCCATCGGGTTCGCCCGTTCAAAGTGCATGATTTAGTAGTTTTTTGGATATCCAGGGTTGTACTGCCATCACCACCATGTCATTCCAGAACGTTTTCACCACCCCACGAGGAAAGCCTGTCCCCATAAGCTGTCTGTTCCCACACCCTCCCCCAGCCCCTGGCACCCGCTGATGGGCTTTTGTCCCTGTGGAGTGGTCTCTTCTGGACACGTCACAGGAGCAGAGTCACCATCCTTCTGCCCTCCACCCACTCTCCTTCATCTTGCCTCCCCAGGCTACGAGGAACACCGGCAAGAGTATCGCCAATAAGAACATCGCCAACCCCACGGCCACCTTGCTGGCCAGCTGCATGATGCTGGACCACCTCAAGTGAGTGGCTCCCGGTGCCCCGCGAGCCCCTAGCCAGCCCTCCGGGCCCCAGGGACTGAAGCCTGGCTGTCCCGTCCTCTAGGCTGCACTCCTATGCCACTTCCATCCGTAAGGCTGTCCTGGCGTCCATGGACAATGAGAATGTGAGGTTCCCCTTGCACCCTACCCTGCTGCCCCACGCAGTCTCCCCCTGCAGCCTCCTGTAGCCCACCTCATGCACTGACCGCGGTCCCCAGGGGAGGGTGATAATGGATCCGGCACCACCTTCTGGCCCTTAGCTGGTGCCACTTCCCTCCTGTGGCAGTCCCAGCCCTGCACGCCACGGGAGACAGTGGGTAGCCCCAGGCCACCTGTACAGCGGGGAGTGGCGGGGCCTGGCGTGTGCCAAGCCTGCCTGTGTCCTACAGATGCACACTCCAGACATCGGGGGCCAGGGCACAACATCTGAAGCCATCCAGGACATTATCCGCCACATCCGCGTCATCAACGGCCGGGCCGTGGAGGCCTAGGCTGGCCCTGGGACCTCCTTGGATTCCCCTTCCCACCCCAGCACCCCAGCCAGCCTGGTAGGCAGAGCCCAGAATAAAGCAGCTTCTGCCTAGACTTGACGTGGGCCTCCCTCACTCCAGGCACCGATGTTCAGTCCACGCTTTATTAAGAAAGGAACACATACACTTTCTCCAAGGGCCCACCTGGGGGTCTCAGGCAGAACACGCTCTGAGAGCGGGCCTGGCTCCAGCGTCTCTTCTGCCCTGCGGTTGTGGGCAGCTGGCGCCCAGAAGGGTGGTGAGAGCTGTGCCGCTTTTCCCTCAAGGCATGGAGAGCTGGAGGTGGAGCCGTGGCCGGGCCTAGGGGTTGAGCCAGGGGTGCTGGAGGCAGTCAGCGGCACTGGCCCGCTTTTCGGGGATGTACTCCATCATGGGCAGCAGGAAGGCACTGAACTGCGTGGCCTGCTCTAGGGGCCACTCGTACTTTTCCATGAGCACCTCGTACAGGCCCCAGTGCTTGAGATTGTGAATGTGCCGCAGCTCTCCTGTGGGCAGGCCAGTGGGCGTCAGGCTCTGTCCCTGTCTCCAGGCCTGCCTTCTGCTTTGGCCCTGGCTACTGGGACCCCAGTGTTCCCTCTGTTGCAGAGTCCAAGGTCCCTGTCCCACCCTCCCTGCAGCCACATGGCCTGAGCCTGCCCGGGCCCTCACCTCTCCGGTTGAAGAACTCCCGGGAATAGCGGCCTGAGAGGGCGAAGGCTGGGGGGATGTCCCCCAGAAGCTCCACGATGTGAGCTATGTGGTCTGTGGGCAGAAAGAGGAGGTTGGGGGCGGGCAGGCCGGGAGGCCGGGAGGCTGAGCGGCTGAGCCCAGGGCCCTCATCCCTTACCCTCATCACGACTGTAGTCTTCTCCAGAATGTGGCTCGAACAGGTAGTCACCAGTGGCCAGCTCGAAGGCCTGGAAGGGGGAGGAAGTGAGGCTGCTGGCCAGTGGGCTGGTGGCCCTGGGCACAGGGCAGCCCGGGTGGGCGTACCATGCAGGCTGTGCTCCAGATGTCTGCTGGGGGGCCATATTCGGCGCCAATCAGCACCTCGACGGCCCGGTACTGCCGAGTCTGGATGTCCTCTGTGAAGTGCTTGTGCTGGAGGCAAGGGGAGCCCTGGGGACAGGGGCCAGGGCCAAGGCTGGCCCGCCCCCACGGACTCCTACCCCACCCCGATCCACCTACCCGAGGAGCTCGGTGGGGCTTGCTCTGAGCCTCGGGGTCCCCAGATCTTCCAAGAGGGACAGGCCCAGTGATCTGAGGCTGAGGCCGACCCTTTCCTAATGGCCCCTGCCCTTGGCCACAGCCCCGGTGCTGTTGACTGGGCAGGACCGATGCCCACCTAGCCAATGGTTCATGTGCACTGCAGGCTGGGGCAGGGTTCCCCAAGAGTGGCCCTGTGCCTCCACCCTTGGACCAGGGCCCCCCACTCTGCTCTCCCAGGCTTGCGCGTACCACCCAGCAGGCGTTGCCCAGGTCTGCGATCTTGATCTTGATCTTATCTGCATTTTGGGGCTCCAGGGGGTTCACCAGGAGGTTCGAGGCACCGAATGGTGCTGGAGAAGGCAGAGCGGGGAGACTGAAGTGGTTCGATTCCTGCCAGCCCTGCCTGCCCGCCGCCCGCCACCCAACTTACTGCTAGGTGACAAGAGGCCCCCGGTCTCTCGCTGATTGGATGAGCCGGAGAGGATGGAGCAGGAGGCAGGAGAGAAGAGGGAGCCAGAGAAACCTGAGGTCTGTGAGCCGGGGCTGAGGCTACGACCATCCCCCGGGGCGGGGGAGGAAGAGTCTGGGGAGGGACCTGCTCTGGCGCCCTCGGGGTGGCAACCTGAAGAGGAGGTGGAGCCGCTGCCCCCGTCTAGTCTCAAGCCAGAGTCTAGGGAGACGGGGTGGAGGCAGCTGCTGAGCAGATGCCCTGCAGCCTTTGCTGCGCTCCACGACCCAGCACCCCCTGTGGCCCCTCACCCTCAGCCTGGGTCGTGGCCTCCATGGCCTCCAGTCTCTGCAGGTCCCGCAGCCGCTCCTCCAGCAGCCGCTTCTGCTGTTTCCGTTTGCGCCTCATCTTCTTCCTCTTGTTTTTGGACAGCTTACCGGTCTGCTGTCAGAGCCAGGGTCACCCCAGGGTTCCTGTCGCCCGCCCCAGTCAGCATGAAGTGGAGGTTTCCCTGCATGGCCACCAGGGAAGAGGCCTCTCCGGGCCCCAGGGCTCCCATGGACACCAGAATGTGGTGCCAGCGCCCCTTGGCACCAGCTCCTCACCACTGTCCCTGCCTCCCCACCTGTGGCCCCACTCCCCACAGCTCCATTAGGAGTGGGAGGACCTGACTGGCCCGCCTCAGGGTGCTCTCTGTTCCCTCTCAGCCCAAGCTAAGGCAGCCGGAAGTGGCCACTCGGGGAAGACAGCATCCTTTCACCAAGAGCAGTTTGGGGCATTTGAGCCATCCCGGGAGTCACCCTCCGCCCAGCCACCCGGCCTTTCGGGATGACCACCGTGGGAGTGCATGAAGGGGGGAGTGAAGCCAGTGTGGCTCCAGAGATGGCCTCCAGTTGGCTCGGATGGGAGAGGAGGCATGGGAGAGAGGGGCCCCCCAACTTACCAAGACCTCCTGGGGGGCAGTACTGACTGGGAGTGTAGGTGGGGAGCAGGAGACAGGGAGGAACAGAGACTCAGGCAAGGGTTCAGGCCCAGAGGTCCTGACCCAGCCCCATGTGGACCCTTGGTACCTATGGAGCGGGAAGGGGGTGGCGCCCCTGCCTGTTGCCACTCCGTGGCCTCGGCAGCCAGGCGCCTGATGTAGGCGTCCCCCACACATAGCAGGATGTTCTCGGGCTTAATGTCCGTGTGGATGATCTTGCACTTGGTATGGAGGTAGTCCAGGCCATGCAGCACCTGCGGAGGGTTGCACCTGACCTCCACGAACTCCCCCTCAGGCCAGGCTGGGCAGCCTAGTGGGTGGCACTCACCTGCCTCACGATGCTCTTCACGCAGGGCACGGGCAGGCCCTGGTAGTTGGACTTGATGATCCATTTGAGGAGCTGGTGGCCCAGCACCTCCAGCACCATACACACATCTAGGCCGGGAGTGAAGGGCGGACAGTAGACACCAGCTGCGGCTCAGGCCCCACCCACCCTCAGCTGGGGGAGCAGCCAGGCTTGGGCCATGCAGAGGTGGGGAGGCAGGGCCTCCCCGGGGCAGTCCTGGTCACCAATATGCTGGTGTCGTCGATAGTGTCCCTGTCGCTCTCAACAGGTATACCAGTTGGGATGGTGCATTTTGTGGTTATCCTAGAGGTGGCGCTGGAGAAGCAGGCACAGAGGCCTCTCGGGCCAGCCCACTCCCACGCCAGTTATGCCATAGGGCCTCTTGGCAGTCCCTCAAAGGGAAGGCAGCACCACAGAGGCAGCACCTGCCGTTTGGGGGTGACAGCAACGTCCATGGACCATCAGCGCTAACTTATTACTGCCTCCACGTAAACACAATTACCTGGGGGTGGGGTCATGCCAGAGGCTTGCTTTACTGGGAGGGATGCAAGCCCATTGTGTGGATCTGCAGACGGGCTCTAGCAGTGAGGGCCCCCGTTTGCCGGCCCTTGGCTGCCACACTGCTTTGCTCTTCCTGCAAAGGATACGGACTCCATTGACTCCTGAGATCCTGAAGTCATCAATGAGCTGGACAATGGTCTCTCTTTTGGGGTCACTGGGGTCGCTGTCTCGGACCTGGAGTAAAAGCCAAGGGGCCACAGACGGTTCCACCCTGCCCTGAAGCCCACAGCTCCCTTCAGTGTATCCCTCTTCTGCTCCAGCTGGGCCCTGCTGGAAGAAAGGTCGCCAACCCCCCCTGTCCCTCACCCGTTCCTCCAGATCCTCCCCCTCTGGCACAGCCAGCTGCAGGCTGCCCCTCGGGGAGCCCCGCCCTGCCCCACAGAGCCCCAGCAGGCCCTGCACCCGCATTGCCAGGCCCCAGGCAGCTCCAGGGGAGCTGGGAGTGGGTAGGGAGGTGCCTCACACATTTCAGGAGCTTGATCTCATCCACAGCTGTCTCCGTGTAATGCCCTGCGCTCTTCACCACTTTCAGGGCCACAAAGCGCTTGCGCCTGTAATACCGAGACCCTTGTAGGCTGTGGCCCTGGCAGGACCCACGGCAGGGATCAGGGTGGCCCCAACCAAACCCAGGGACAGGATCCCAGCCAGTGCTGGGCCCAGAAGGCGAAGGAGGCACTCACTGGATGTCCCAGCAGAGCCAGACAGTGGAGAAGTGGCCCCAGCCCAGTTTGCGCACCACGTGGTACCGCCCATTGAACAGGTCACCAATCTTCACAGGGTAGTAGCCGCCTGCCAAGGGGAGATGATAGATTGGGGTGGTGGGGGTTCTCTCTCCCCTGGGCCCCCAAACACCTCGACCCCATTGGCCATCTGGCCCATGTGGGCCCAGGGCTGCCCTGGGTCCCTTGTAGTGGCCGTCAGGCCGCATGTGCCCAAGGCCAAGCCTCACCCTTGCAGTAATCCTTGGGGTCTTCCTGTTCCTCATCGTCAGAGCCCAGAAGCCCCTGCAGCATCTGAGGCGCCGGCATGGCCAGGGCTAGTTCGGAGCCTGAGGACTCGGGCCCGCAGGAGGCCTGTGAGCTGTGGGTGGGGTGGGTGGGCGGTGAGCGTGAGAGACGCCAGGGGCCCTGGGTGCCTGAGCCGAGCCCTACCTGCTGCTGCTGCTGCTGCTGCCGCCGCCGCTGCTGCCGCCGCCGCCGCCGCCGCCGCCGCCGCCGCCACCACCGCCGCCGCCGCCGCTGCTGCCGCCGTCCCCAACACCGCCCGTGCTCGCGCTCATCCCGGCTGCGCAGCCCGCAGCTCCGGTGCCCCGGGCGGCTGCTCCTGTGGGGCCTGGCTGCGGCCTGTGAATTTATAGCCTCGGCCGGCCGCTGATCTCACCCGCCTTTATAAATAGCCTCCCAGCTGCTCGGCTGTGGGCAAGGTATGCGGCGCGAGGAGGGGGCGGCGCGACGGCGGCCCCAGAGAGCCCGGCCCCCAGGCAGAGCCCCCCTCCTGCTCCAGGCCCACCCTGGAGGCAGAGGGGGCTACTGCTTGGGGACCAGGGACAACTGGGCCCCCAGGCTTAGCCTCCGCACCCCAGCTGAGGGGGAGGTCCACGAGGGGGTGAAGCAACCCGTACCCTAGGTTGGGTTCCCGTTCTCCAGTGCCGACTGTGGGGATGTGCTCTGCTTGGCAACCTGGTCCTTAGGCCAAGCCCTGACCACCTGTGCCCCCGTGGGCATCCTCCTTGAGGTGCTCCTCTCCCGTGGGAACCCCCATCCCTGGCTGCTCCCAGCCACTTCCTGCTTCTATGTTTCATCAGCCCCTAGGACAAGTGGGATCCCAGTGCCCTCTGAATGTGGCGTCGCTGGGGACCCCTCATTTCCCCTACCAGAGGCACCAGGCCTGCTGAGGGAAGGCCTGGGAGCTTGCGAGCCCAGAACCTGCTCCTGCGACCCTGCCTGGCACTCTGGCTCCCAGCACCTGCTCTTCCTCTCCACCATTTGCAAGGTGCCTGCTATGGGCTGCTCCATAGCCAGACATGGGGGAGGCAGCAGGAAGCTGCTCGCTGCTGGGGACAAGCAAGCCCATAGCCACTTCTCCATGAGTGTGGTGGTGACTGAGAGACCAGGAGAAATTGGGTCCCCAGAAGCATCCACGGTAACCCAGGGCACAGTGGGGCAAGGCCTGCAGCCAAGACGCGTTCCAGCCCGTCACGTGCTGGCCATGACTGCTGCATGGTTTGGGGGCAAGGACTGGAGGCCTGGGGTCTGTTGGCTCAATGTGGAGCTTGGGTGATATGGGGTTGGGGAGTGGTCACTGAGTTTCTGCTCAGCAAAAGGTTACTCTGGCCACTTGAAGGACAAGGGAATGGAGGGGTGAGAGTGGAGCTGAGAGGCCAGCTGGGGCCCGACAGAGGAGTCCCAGTGAAGGGGAGGGGGCTTGGCAGAGAGGGTGCTTGTCGTAAGATATTGGTGCAGTGTTCCTGTACCAGTGTCCGTGAAGTGGTAGGGGTGGGCCACGCATTGGTGGAGGGGCCAGCGAGGTCAGGGAGTGGGAGGGAAAGTGAAGCCCGGGTACCTGATGGCCTCTCTTTGTCTGTGGGTAGCAGGTCATAGCCATGGGGCTGAGGGGCTCTCAGTCAGGAGAGCATTGAGTCAGCTCCTGCAGGGAAAAGCAGGGGCTGGGGATTGCGCCCTTTGTAAAAAGACATTTCTGTCCAGGTGTGGTGGCTAATGCCTGTGATCCCAGCATTTTGGGAGGCTGAGGCGGGCAGGTCACCTGAGGTCAGGAGTTTTGAGACCAGCCTGACCAACATGGGGAAATCCCGTCTCTACTAAAAATACCAAAATTAGTCAGGTGTGGTGGCACACGCCTGTAATCCCAGCTACTCGGGGGGCTGAGGCAGGAGAATTGCTTGAACCCGGGAAACAGAGGTTGCAGTAAGCCAAGATCGCGCCACTGCACTCCAGCCTGAGAGAGCAAGACTCCATCTCAAAATAAAGACATATTTCTATTTTATTTCCAGATGTGATTTTCCAGCAGGCAAATAAATATAGTGGGGAGAGGGGGAAGAAGGGGGGGGTCCTTATAAATTAGAAATAATCCCAGGTGGGGGGAAAGTGGGTGGGCTGGCAGGGGAGGTGGCAGGCAGGGAGCCCACTGCTGGGCACAGCGCCTGGCTGTGCACCCTGCGCCCCCAGGCTCTGCCAGCTCCCCTCAGTGGCTGGCTCGGTTCCGGGATCATAAGGCACTGCGGTGGTGGTGGATCCGGCTTGCTGCTGTCTGAGCCAGAGCTCACAGGTCAGTCACTTTGTTCTCCACCAGGGCGGCAACCTGCTGCAGGCGGCAGGCCAGCTGCAGCTTCTGGCCCACAGGGTCCTCCTCCAGGGCACTGATAATCTGCCCAGGCAGAGGAAGGTGCCTGTCTGAGCCTGCCCCTCTGCCTGCTGGCCCAGGGCCACCCACCCTGCTTCCATCTCTGCAGGAGCCTGGGGATCCAGTGGGGGCTGCCTGGGGTCTTCCTGGGAAATCTGAATGAAAGCCGAGTCCCTTCCCCAGCCTGGGCCCCGCCAGCATGGGCTGGCACCGTTGCTCCGCCGGGAGGGTCCACGGGCCTCCCGCTCCGCTGCGCCTCCCCTCTGGAGTGCCCTGGGCCTCACCTGATCGTAGTACCTGTGGATGTGGTTGTAGAGTTCTTGCAGAGCCTCCAGACAGTGGGGAGCAGAAGTGTAGCTCTGGGGGCACCATGTGGAGGGGGGCAGTGAGGTCCCAGCCTGGTCCTCAAGCCCAGTCTCCCCTCTGCTAGTCTTTCCACCCACATGTGGACAGGCGCACCCCCTGGGCCATGCCTCACCCCGGAGAGCTCAGCCAGGGCAGAGTTCATCTCCTGGTAGCTCGCCGGAGAGCTCTGGCGAATGTCTGCATAGTATCTGGAGGAACAGACTTAGTTAGGGGTGGGGCAGCGCCCATTCTCCGCAGCCCCAATGCCTCTGATACCCACCTTTCCACCATTTGCTTGTAGCGTGGGATCTCCCGGGCGTAGAGCAGTTTGTTCACTGGGGAATCCTGCTCCAGAGGGAGGGAAGGCGCTAGGCATGAGCTAGGAGGTGAAGGTGCCACCATTACGCTGCCACCGCCCACCCAGAGCTCTGTGCAGAGCCCTCCAGGCTTCCCCCATAATACTTTCCTCCTCAAGCCCCTGCCAGCTGCTGCTGGCACTGCTCTTACCCGGCCCACTTTATGCTCTGAGGTGGTACAGGAGTCAATAAAGGTCTGGGCGATGACAGCAAGGATGGCGTCCACGTTGTCCGACACCCGCACATCAAAGATGAGCTGTGGGTTCTTCAAGGCATTCACCCAGAACCGCAGCAGCAGACTGGGGGTGCAGGGCGGGCGTGGGCTTGAGGCCCTGGCCCGCCATCGTGATCTCCACCCCATGCGCTCCAGCCTACTGGCAACACACTTGGGGCCAGGGGCCACTGGAAGCTGGCCTGGTGGCCCAGGTGACCTGGGCCCTAGATCTTCCTGTAAGTTCCAGAGACCGCAGGTGGGTGCATCCACCCTGGGAATGTCCTGGTCCCTCTGGGACTCAGTGGACCATGTGCACAGCGGGGGTGGGGCAGCAGGAAAGGCACCTGTTAGTCTTCCAGATGTGCAGGGTCCCTGGGTCCTCGATGCCGTGCTTCTCTGCGAGTTCATCCAGAAGGTCAAACAGGTACTTGACAGCAATGGGGATGGGCCGGTTCACACTGAGAATGGCCTGGAAGGTGTCGTCCACAAACTTCTGCAGCGTGCCCTGCGAGGCAGGGGATAAGGGCCATGTGGAGGGCAGGGTGTGGGGCCCATCCACGGCCCAGGCTGCCTCTGCCCCTCCCACTTCCTGGCTCGGTCGGGGGCCCGTGGCTGAGCCTCCTCTCAGGCCCAGCCGCCCGGGCCGCACCAACCTTCATGGACAGCAGACGGGTGAGGTAGATTTCCGGAATGGCCTTGGCCCTCGCTGGCTCCCGCTCCCGCAGGCTGCCGCACCGCACCTTGGCCCCTTCTGGCTCCTCGGTGGCTTTCACCAGGTGCCAGAGGCACACCCCACCCTCCTCGCCATCCTCCAGCGTGGGGATGTCTGAGGGCACAGGAGCCTGGCTTCAGGATTATGCCCCCTGCCGCTGGCCTGGGATGCCCAGTCCACTTCCCTGACAAGGTGGGGCAGGGTGGGGACTGGAAGAAAGGAAGGAGAGATGGGCAGAAGATCTCAGTGGGGTGGGGGATGAAGCTGAGGCAGATGCGTGGCCAGGAGTTCTGCCTGTCCAGCCTGGACTCCAGTGGCCCCAGGTCGGGGCCGACCCGGAGGGACTCACTCTCTCCCAAGGGGCACCTCTGGGCCAGGCTCTGGGAGATGCTGCTGCCGCTGTGCAGCTGAGGGACGAGCCCCACTGTTGCTCCATCTGGGACCTGGCAGAGATGGGGAGCAGAGGCTGTGCTGACCCCTGGTGAGGCGCCTACACTGCTCCCACCCTGCCCTGCCTCATCCTGCCCTGCCCCCAGCCCCGCCCTGCCCTGCCTCGACCTCGCCGCCCCAGCCCCGCCCTGCCCTGCCTTGCCCTGCCACTGCTCACACCTTGTAGTGCTGCAAAGTGTTGAGTCTCTTCCAGTGGTTTTGGGTCACGGAGGTCAAGTCTTCATCCGACAGGGTGAGGTGACCAGCTAGGCCCGAGCGCCACTCTGGAGGGGGTCAGGGATGCAGATAGTCTACAGCCTGCTCTCCATGCCCCACGCTCATAGTAAGGCACAGATGAGGGTCTCCAGGTGCCGGAGGGGTAGGGAAGGGTCCCTGGGGTGGGTGGGCAGGGCTGGCTCTCTCACCAAGGTCTAGGGCATGCACTGAGGGCCTCTGGGAGAAGGGGGTGCCCTTGTAGACTTGGTCCAACACCTTCTCCTTGACCTGGGTGATGGTGTCTGTGTCGAGCACCCGGGCCGGCACGCGCTGCACCTCACTGCTGCATGCGGCCCCGCCAGCCCCAGGCCCCACCAGCACCATCAGTGTCAGGGGCTGGAACTCCACGTCCTCCCGCAGCAGGCGGCTATCATTCAGGGTCCGTTTGGCCTTGCCTGTCACGGCGTCCACGGGGCCTTTGTCCACTTGGTACTGGATGGCCCGGAAGAGCATGTACAGTGGCTCACCGGCCACCTCCTGCACTGCCAAGATGAGCCAGCATCAGCCAAGTGAGGGGATGGATGGCAGCCCTTCTCGCCTCTGCCTCGCCTCCAGCCCGGGAGAGGGTTCAAAGTCCTTCCCTTTCCAAAGCCCCCCCTTGCTGGGCCTTGGTCAGGTAGGGCGCAGGCAGCAGCCCCCACACGGCGGGAGGGGAGGAGTCTGCCACTCGGGGCTGGGGGCAGCCAGGACAGTGCCCCTCACCCTCAGGAA